CTTCGACTAGGTGAATTGACACAGTGAGTGATGCAATGGGCTCCTGTGTGTCAGGAAGTGTGAGGATGATGCAGGATAGAACAGATCTTTTGTTCATAGGGTTGCTATTAGTTGACTTGACTTAATGGCATCTAACAACAACAACAACTTGTGCCACTGGCTGTCAAATGCCATAATGTTTACCAATGATGGATGGGGTTTGATAAAGCTCCCAGGTTAAGACAGATTTGGAAGCAGGATTAGCATCTATTTCTTTTAAAAAAAAGGCCTTTGGAAACCCTATAAACACCAGAGAAATAACGATAATTATAGACCAGGGTTCAGATCTTTTATTCTTAGGGTCGCTATGAGTCATACCTGACTTGATGGCACTTAACGATGACAACAGCAATCCACTGCATCATCTCTCTCTGGGGGAATCGTTCCCAGTTAAATTAACTGTGGATGCATGGTCTTGCAAATCATCAACAACCATGGGACCAATAGAAGAAAGAGAAAGGGAATGCTTTTCAGGAGAGAGTACGAAGGGGGTGTGAAGAGACTGTGAAGACACTGTGGTATGGGGTAGCTTATTTTCCTTAGAAATGAGAATGGTATTTATCTCACATACTTGGGACATATTTTTGGGAGGGATAAATCCCTGGAGAAGGAGACAATGTTTGATAAAGTAGCAGGTAAGTGAGGAAAAAAAAGACTATCTTTAAGAGCAGAGATTGATATGGCGGCTACAAACATTGATTTATGCCCAGCAGTGCTGTAAGAATGGGAATGTGAGAACTGGGAAGTATTTTATTCTGGTAACATAGGGTCTCATTTTGGGCTGGATTCTTGAGAGAAGCAAAACCAGTGAGAAATTCTGTAGTCAGGGACCTTTCCAAATTATTGAGGAGAAATTATGTTAGTTTGAGGACTAAGGTGTGCCTTAATCAGGCCGTGGTCTTTTCAATCACTTGTTATGCTGCTAAGAGCTAGACAGTGTATCAGGATGACAGAAGAATTGATGCCTTTGAATTTGGCTGTTGGAGAAGAGTACTGAATATCCCAAGAACTGCTGAAACAATAGACAGATATGTCTTGAAGAAGGTACAGCCAGAATGCTCCTTGGAGGCAACAGTGATGAAGCTTCATCTCACATAGTTTGGTTATGTTGCTAGGAGAAGCTATTCATTGGACAAGGACATTATGCATGGAAAGGTGCAGGGATGGCAAAAGAGAAGAAGACCCTTGAACAGGAGGATAGGCACAGAGGCTGTAGCAATGGTCTCAAATGTGTCAGAGATGGTGAGGATGGCAAAAGATAGGACTGGGTTCAGATCTGCTGTTCATCAGGTTGATATGAGTACTATTCGACTACACCTAACAACAATAACAACAACAACAGCAATAAATAAGTGATAGAAAAATATAGAGACAGAGACAGAAAGCAAGAGACCAAGATGGAGCTTAAGGAAATGACTCACATTTTCAGATGCCGGCAAGTTCTAGGTCTGTGGGTCAGACCTCAGAAGAGAGGCTACTGTGGAGGCTGATGAGTGCAAGGTTGGCAGATATTGTATGCTTCTGTTTCAAGTCCACAGAATCAGAGGTGTTAAGACAGATGTAAGATTCAGAATGAGCAAAATCAAGAGAGCTTTGCCAATGTCCATATGAATTTGATATAGGCTGAATCCCTGATTCATAATGAAAAATGGTGACAGAGAAGAATCTATGCCTTTGAGTTGTGGCATGGGAAAAGAGTACATCCATCCCATTGACTGATAAAAGAATAAATAAGTGTGTCTTGATATATTGCAACCAGGGTGTTATTTAGAAGCAAAGATGACAAAACTTCCCACATACATAGGACATGTTGTTAGGAAGGGCCAGTCTGGAAAAGTGGAATGTAAGTGAAAGAGAGGGAGACTCTCAACAAGATGGATTGATATAGTTTCTGTAACAATGGGCTCTAGTATATCAGAAAAGGTGAGGATGGCATAAGATAGGGCAGTGTTTGGAATTGTTGTTCATAGGGTTGCTATGAATTATAGTGAACTCGACAGAACCTAACAGCAACACAGCAACATACCCCTGATAAAATTTCCTTTCATCTGATTGGCTACTCATAGGTGATCTCATCATGAAGATGATCATGTAAAGTTTAATCAAGGAAATGATTGCATTGTACCATGACTTCCAAATCAGTGATGCATAACCAAGATGACACTCAACTTTAACTATTACAGGCCATTATAAGTTGAAACAAATTCCAGGGCACCCAATAACAGCAATTTGTTCAGTTTGTGCAGATAGAAGGTAGTAGAAGAAGGATCCAAATGAAGGATCTCTGCTCTAACACACATATTCCTCCCCATTTCTTTAATATAATAACTACATATTAGCTTTTCAATTTTTGACTATATTTTCAGAAGAGCTCCAAAATGATAGAATTGAGTTGTCCCATTTATATATCAAGACCACTTGTAGTAGGAAAGGGGGTGTAGAGTGGAAAGAAAAATATTTCTATACACTTATATTTGTCAGATGGTTTTTGTTATAAGCAGCCCAACATTTTGAGCTATATTTTAACTTTCATTTACAGCTATTATTTTTGGTATGTTCATGATTGTAAAAGTAATAAAAACTTCATAAAAATTCAGGTGATATTGTGATATAAAGTCAAAGCACCTAACAACAACAATAACAACAACAAAATCTTAAGCACAAAAATCCATAATGAAACATTTGGGCTTCGTAGGGAGCTCTGGTGGCAAGAAGCTGTGGTGCATATGTGGTTCAAGGCCACCAGCTGCTCCATAGGAGAAAGCTGGGCAATCTCCTCCCATGTGATTAACTGCCTCTGAAAACCCACTGGAGTATGGGTATGTTTTGACTTTGTGGTATACAACAACAACAACATTGCTTTGTTGCCAAATTTGTTTCCTTTTATGCTGGTTTTAGATGGATTTATTATCTGGTTAGATATTTCTAGGCAGCACTTGATACTCTTACCACTCTCTCATGGCAGCCACTCTTACATAGTCCGAATTTACCAAAACCAGAAGACAGAACTGCCATCAGTTCACTCCCAGATTTTAGAAGTCTGGGGCGGAAGGGGAGCTGAGTCAAAGGCCTGGGTTGGCAGAAGACACAGAAACTTGTACAAACTGTGTGGATGACAGGGGACAGGTGACTTTGGGGAGGCACACTTGGTATCCAGAACAATTTGATTTCTCTTCTCTGGGTGGTTTCCACAAGGGAATGTTGTTTCTAATTCTTGTGGTTTTTAAAGAGGAACTAGAATTCTCATTATCACTGTGAGTTTTCTTTTTTAAAAAATCTTGGCTTAAGGGAGCTCTGGTGGCCTAGTGGCAAGAAGCTGCACTGCAATCCCAGAGGTACGTGGTTCGAATCCACCAGATACTCTGCTGAAGAAGGAGGGACAATCTCCTCTTGCACCAGTCAGATCCGATTTGAAGTACACACACACACAAAATAATAAAATTAAAAAATCTTGGCTTAAATTTACCAAATGCCTTACTAGCCAAATAATCACGTCTATTTCCAAGTAGTCAGAAGCACTCATGGCCTCAAGGATGGAGAGTGTCTCTGGCATTTCTTCAGGCTTTGCATCTGAGTGAATTAAAGTTACAGAGGATATTCTTGGCAGACAGCAGTCTCAAACCATCCTATTTTCTCTTATTTATCTCTTCTGGTTGGGTAGCCTAAGAATGAATATCACTTTCTCCCACCTAGGTGGCACAAGTGTTTGTGATTGAAAATAACACAGAAAGGTGAATGATGAATAAGGAAAAATGAAGTAGAACTGATACCTTTAAGTTATAACTAATGAAGATTATTAAATATATTAAGGACTGTCAGAGGAACAACAACCAAATCTGCCTTGGAAGAAGTAAAGCCAGAAAGCTTCTTAGCAGGGAGGATGCTGAGACTTCATCTCATGTAACTTGTTGTCTGGAGAGACTTGTTCCTGAGGGAGGATATCATGCTTGGTAAACTAGAAGATTATATAACAATAATAAAAAATAATAAAGCCTCAACAAGGCACATTGACTTTGTGACTATAACAATGGACTCAAAGACGGCAACAATTATGAGGATGGTGCAATACTGGGCAGATACTACTAGAAGGTAATAGTTTTATCCCTCTTGATTTTAGTAAAAGAAAAGAGATTATGCTTTTAATTACATGTTTTATTTGAACTTTTAAAGTACCATCATTTCTATGATGAGATTAATCTGTTTAACCTATTTATTACAAGGGATTACGTGTGCTGTTTATTCACGAGACACTTTATAGTAGTTTTATCCTGAGCCTAGCATCATTTCTCCAAAGACTTTATTTCTTCTTCTAACTCTATGCCAACTGGTATCAGTGTTTTTGTTTGGCCTATTGGAATCTGCCCATGCAATAGCTTCCAGATAAGACCTATAGGACAGCCAGAGGTAAGCAGGCCAGTCGTGGTTGCTCTTGTGTAATCCCAAACGAGTGTCAGTATCTGTTGCCAAATACTGAAGAGAAGCCAGTTCCAGCTGATCACTATCCGAGCTCTTCCAGCATTTGTGACTTTGGAGCTCAAGGCAGCAGGGTATCCTGCTTGGAAAAGATGTATGAGCACTCAGCCCTTGTAAGGTAAGATCAGACAGATGTCTTCAGAAAGCAGATGTCAGGAGACAATTTGCTTTGTGCTGTCTCTACATAAATGTAATGTTAAAGTACAGTCCAGAGGAAGCCTTAGAAAATGGCAATCCTTTTAGATTTTATTACTTTTTTTCCTTCCTCAACAAGGATGGACAGAGTATGTTTGCTCTGCTGGGGAAACGAAACAGTTGGACAGTTGACTTCATTGGGAAACAATATTATTTGGAAAGGAGGCTTGGTTTCCTGTGTCAATGACCTGGTTGGAGAGCAAGCAGTGGGTTTCTGCTGGGATTTCAGAGTCCCTGTACTGCTGCAGCCCAAACATTTCCCAAATCACAGAGGAGCTATGAGTAATGAGAACATGTCTGCTTTCAGGTTCTGGTCCAGCCTGCTGATTACGTTGCTTGGGTATCTCTGCCCTGGGGCTTCCCCATGTGGGATTTCAACACATGTAGAAATAGGTAAGTGCTGAAGTTTTGTCATGTTGTTTGTTGAAAGGACCATAAATCTGTCCAAAATGATTTAGGGGGAGTTGCAAAGTGTATTTCCATGTCTTGATGCCATATCCCCAGTTGTACTGAGTAGCCTGGTAGGAGAGACAAAGCTGTGATTGAGAGTCACTATCAGGGTGACTTCACTGGGGACAGAGGAAGGGACAAGCAAGAGAGTGGGTGTTTCTTTGGGTGGTTAAAGAGAGAAACTAGAACTTGCAGGGAAGGTGAACCAATAGAATGGTAGAGGGAAGATGTGTGGAATATACAAGGTGGTTGTTTCTATTCAATAGATTGTGCTCCACACAATCATGCTCCACAAGTCTTTCAAAGCTGTTACCTTTCAGAAGTAGATTGCCATGTCTGTCTTCTGAGGTGCCTCTCAGTGGGTTTGAACTGCCAAACTTTTAACTAGTGGTTGAATGTTGCATTATTTGTACCAGCCTGACACTAGTCCCATATTCTTTCAATGGAACATTCAATTCCTAATGTGGGAGTGAGGCATTTTTTGTTCTTAGATGTTTGAGGACAGGGACTTCCAAATAGTTGACTTTTGAACTATATGGATTGAACTACACAGATCCACTTACTTATCCCCCCTTGTTGTTATTGCCATGAGCTCAAATGTTGCAAGGACTTTGTGGTACTGATCACCTCATGAACAATTTGTCTTTACAGTAAATTGCATAAATTAGTCAGAAGTACCAAGATTATTATTGCACATGAGGGCAGCACCTCTCAAGCTATTCAAGGGTGACCTGTGTATGAAAAGGGCTGCCTGTGGCCATGGGAGGGAGTCCTGTGGGTTAAGCTTTTAGAGAGATTAGGAGGTATGTACAGTGTTTTAATGGCCATATACATTGGCATCAGAGGTGCTAGAATGACAGCTGCAGATAAAGAGGCGGAGAGTACAGTCGACTGATGCCTATAACCAGTGAACAAGGCAGAGTGGTCCTTATATGGGCAGGTGATAGCACCAAGAGTAGGGCTTTTGTAGTAGAGGACATTTGTCATATTTTTAAGCACTTGAAAAGCATGAACTAATTTGTGATATAATTTGATATAATGCCAATTCATATAAATTTTCAGATTCATTTCAGCTGCACCTGATGTTGTGGGTTTTCTTTCATTTAGAGAAAAACAACAATAGTTTGTTGTTGTCCTATTTCTAGGAGTTACAGAAGAGGGCAAGATTAAAAATGAAACATGGGTAATTACCAGAGCAAAATAAACCTAGATATTGAGCTATTGGGCAAGAACTTTATAAGCCTAGAACTTTATGGTGTAGAGTGACACTAGAGAATCCTGAGTCTAGTTCTTTAGTTTTACAGATGAGGCAGCTTTTCCCAGTGAAGTCTTTCTAGAATTTCACAGCTAACCTGTTGGTGGCAGGTCTAGAATTGCATGTCCTGACAGCTAGTTTTGTATTCTTTATATTAATTATTTATTGCTATGAGGGAGGCAAAAGATATTGGAAAAGAAACTCAGACCAAGGATCTAATACTAGCTCTACTGTAAACTACATAAGAAAAATGGAACATTCACTTTATCTTTGAATTCCTTTTCTGTGAAATAAGTGTTGAATGTCTTAATATATTCTGTGAAATAAGTGTTGAATGTCTTAATATATTTCTCAGTGTCTTCTAAGATCAATGAAAGTACAAAAGTCTGTTTTGAAGTGGAATGAATATAAATGGAAATATTCTGCTTTTTAATGCTTAAAGTTTAAAGATTCATGAGACAGATGAGATTAAACATTTTCATGAAATCAGATAATTATTTTCTTTCAAAGCAGATGCCAAACCAAGATCCTAACTGATGTTTAAAAAGTTGAATATATCTTGATGTGAACATAATTAGAAACAATTCTTGAAAGAGGATATTCATCAAGAATTTTTTAAATATAAAAGGATATGAAAATGCAAACATTTATTAATTAATAACAGAGTATTTTATAAATACCTTTGTTGTTTTTCCTTTCACCTTTTAAAAGTTATTTCTTTATATTGGTTTGCATACAAAATTTGTATGCATTATGTTTTGTTTATATACATTGTGTTTCACGCATTCACTATTCATATTGTGTTTCATCGGATGATTCCCATACATTGTATTTTATAAAATAAGTCACCATTGATCCATGCCCACCATTACCTCACCTTTTCAGGTCCCCAGTGGATCTTTCCTAATTCCTTCACCTCTTCCCTTGGCCCATCAAACTCTGTGACCCCATGACTTACCCTCTTTTGTATCCTCAGTCCACCTTCTCCCTCCCCTTATCTCTTTGAATTTTTGTAGACATCTTACTAGTAATCCTTTCATATTTACGGTAATAGTCATATGCAGTATTAAGTCCTAAGTGAAATATTTGCATTAATATAAATTTGTTGTTGTTGTTGGGTGCTATGGATCAGTTCCCACTCTTAGTGACCCTGTGTGCAATGGAATGAAACTGTCCAGTCCCTGTGCCATCCCCACTCGTGCTGTTTGCTGTGCTTGAGCTCACTGTTGCAGCCACTGTTTGAGCCCATCTCGTTGAAGGTCTTCTTTTTTTACATGATGTCCCTTTCTAGGAACTGGTCCTTCCTGATAACATGTCCAAAGTATGTGTGATAAAGTCTTGCCGTCTTTACTTAGAGGGAGAACACTAGCCACGCTTCTTCCAAGACAGATATGTTTATTCTTCTGACAGTCCATAGTCTTTGTTGACACCATAATTCAAAAGAATTAGTAATTCTTTGGACTTACTTATTGGCCTCTATTTCAGTTTTTGAATACCTATGAGGTAATTGAGAATCTCATGATTTGAGTCACACTCACCTTAGTTTTCAAAGTGAAAACTTTGCTTTTTTAAAAAAAATTATCAGTTTATATATAATCATTCATATACATTGGGTTTCATTCATGTACATTGTTTTATACAATCATTCATATATATTTTGTTTTATATACTTCATTACAAGTTGCTGTACAGCAGTAACTTGTGGTTATTGTGAGGCTGAACAGTGTGACACTGATGTGTCAAATGCGTTCATGGTCAGTCACCCAATGTGGACAGAGAATGGGGTGGAGCTCCCCTATTAAAACAAGCTTGGAAGGAGGAGTGGCATCCACTTCCGTAATACCTTGCCTCCGGAAACCCTGTGAACCTGGAGAGCAGATGGAAGACACCCAAGCGTTGAGGACTCTCCTGCATAGGGTCGCTATGAGTCGCCTGCAACTCGATGGCACTTAACAACAACAACATACTTTATTACTACTGATTTATGCATGCTGTCATCCCATCTTTCCAAGTGCCCATTGAATCTTTCCTATTATTCCTTCATGCCTTCATCTACCCACTATCTTCTGCTATTCCAGTGATTGCCACCTTCCCTCTTTTCCATCCCTTCTCCAATTCCCTTTCCTCTTTGAACATGTATACACATCTTGTTCAGTTATCCTTCTGTTTTCACAATAATGGTCTTATGCACTTTTTGTCCTTGTGAAATGGTGTAATTTCACTCAGCAGAATGGCCTCTAGACTCTTTAATGATATATAGTATTTTATGAAATTATTGTTTTTTAGTACTGCATTGAATTCCATTGTGTGAATGTATCATATTTTTTCCATTAATTTGTTTGTTTATGGACATTTGTGCTGCTTCCTTTTGCGGCCTTTTGTGAAAAATGCTGCTATGAACATAGGTGTTCATATCTCCATTTGTGTTTCCATTCCGATTCCAGCAGTGCAATCCCTGAGTCATACAGGATTTCTATGTTCGACTCTTTGAGGAAATGTCAAACAGTTACCTTATATAGTGATTGTACCATTTCATATAATCCCATCAACAATGCGTGAGAGTTCTAATCACCATTGCTTTTTAATACTTTGATAAAGAGTTCTTTCACAATAGATTTTCTCATTGCTATAATGAATACATTTTTTCAATGCTGTCTCTATGGCCACTGATTGTTGATTTAAGTAAAATGAAATCCTTGATAACTTTAGGATTTTCTCTCTTTATTCTGTTATTGGCTACTGATCCAGTTGTGAGGATTTTTGTTTTCTTTGAATTGACATATAATCTATATTAGAGGCTATAATTTTAGTTAATTATAATTTACACCATCCAAAGGTTTTGTTCTATAATGTTATTAACTTACTGTGTGCAAGTTATTTGTGTCAGTATGAACTTGTTTCTTTTTAAAAAAATTATTTTATTAATTTTAATGAACATTTACAGAGATTTTAGATTTCCATTCATTCATTGTTGCACTTTTTTCTCTGCCCTCCGCCATGATCTTGTTTCTTATAGCATTCATACTTATAATTGTTGTGTGCTGTTGAGTTGATTCTGACTCAGTGACAAAATAGGACAAAGCAAGACAAAATAGAACCACCTCCTTGGATTTTTTAGGCTGTATCTGTATGGAAGCAGATCACCAGGTCTTTTCTCTTGTGAAGGTGATGCTAGGTTTATATTGCTAATTTTTCCATTTAGTATCTTGGTACCTCACACTGGCACCTCCAGACCTCCTTGCTTACATTATATACTTTTGTGTCATATCGATTAAAAAAAATTTGGATGTGATTCACAATAAGAATAAAGTATCACTTTTGTATGTCTCTTCACAAAGAATGTTAGTCTTTTTGTTGATTATAAGAAGATTCAGGATGTGGATGTGGGTGAGGGTATGTATATATTTATGTGTATGTGTATGTGTATGTGTATATAGGTGGAGTAGGTGACCTGAGGGATTTTTTGTTGTTGTTGTTGTTCTTTCAAATGGTTTAACAATGAAAGAACATTTGAAAGTCACTGGTTTGGGCTCTTTATTGAATTTCCTGTTTAGGTTCAGCTATCTGAGTGGATTGGTTGTCTTAAGGCAAAATATGATGATAGTAAATTCTGATTATTGAGAATTTTCCATATATTAGTGATTGTTCTTATCACTTAGCATTAATTGTGATTCTCTCAATAAGTCTATAAGGTCAATGTTATTTACTTGACTTTATATAAGATGAAAATGAAGCCTAGAAAGATTAAATAACTTTACTAAAGCCATGAAACGAGTTAAGAAGAAATATTAAACCACTATGCAAATGCGGTCCTCATGCCAGGTTTTAATTGTTTTTCGTTAAACATTCTTCTAAGTGGTATAGCACTGGTCTGTCCATTTGCTGTACAGAGGTAACACATGGTTGCTGTGATGCTGAGCACTGTGACACTGATGTGTCAAATGGGATATGGTGGACAGTGGTGTCCATGGTGGACAGTGTTTTGTGGAGCTCCCTGATTAAAACAAGCTCGGAAGCAGGAGTGACATCCACTTCTGAAATGGCTTGCCTCCAAAAATTCTATGAACTTGGAGAAACAATGAAAGTTATACAAGTGTTCATTAGTTCATAAGGTTGTTATGAGTTGTCTACAACTCAATGATACTTAACAACAACAATAGCAATGCAAATTAGATTTTAATTGTGATAATATAGATATTGTATAAACCTTACTAGTCTTCATGAAAATATTAAATAAGTCACAGTTAATTTCTATTTCCTGCTTCTTTGACTGATACAGCCACAAAATTATATATATCCCTTTAAAAATTATCTCTATTTTTCATAATAGTTGAACATAATTAATTTATGTTTTTCTTTCTTTCAGGACACAGGGCTCTGGAGTTTTTCCATCTTCAAACTGGGAGTGTTAACTACAAAGAGGTATAAAGCTTTACTTTCCTTTTATTCCTATGTATTAAAGTTCTTTAGTAGTGTCAACAAAAATTCCAACAGATAGGTAACCAAATTTATAAAATAATATAGTTATTTTTACATTGTCACAGAGCATTAATATTTTAGAGGATATATAGAAAAGTGTATTCCCTGGAGAATGACTTACTTGAATACTACTTGCATATTAGATGTATATTATAAAGTCTACCAGCTACTCTTTAGGAGAAAGCTGTGTAGTCTGTTAGGTGATTTAAAGCCTCTGAAAATCAGCTAGAAGGTCAGCTATGAGTCAGTCAGTTATGATTTGACAGTATGTATATGTATACCAAAATAGAAGAACACATTTGATATTCCTCAAGGTAAAAGAACGAAAGCACAAATTCCAGTCTCAAGTTAAAATACTGAAGGATTCTATGGGCAAAATATTAAATGATTCAGCAATAACAACTCAGCCCATTGCTGTCAAATCAGAACCAACCCATAGCTGACCCTCCAGTAGATTTTTAGAGGCTGTAAATCTTATGTGAGGAGATTCTCCACTTTTCTCTCATGGAACAGCTGGTGGATTCAAAGCACCTGCTACTGCACTAACAGTGCAACTCTTTACCCAGTAGGCCACCAGATCTCTCTTTAAATGATGCAGAAAGTACCGAAAGAAGATGGAAGGAATACAGAGAGTCACAGTACTAAAAAAATTTGGTCAACTTGGCCACACCTAACACTAGTAAGACTCTATCATGAGGAAGTAATAAATATTTCTGTTATCAGATCTTTGCATTTTTAATGCAAAATTATATAATAAATTGGAAAAACAAACACTCCCCAAAACAACAACAGCACTAATACACACACACACATACACAAAGAGAGTTATGTAAGTAGTTATATAGACATTAGAAACTTGTCCTTGGAAAGAAACCTCATGCTGAGAAAGATAGAGGGTCAGTGAATATAAGGAAGATTCTCAGTGATATAGATTGGCACTGTGATTACCAAAATGGTCATAGCCAGATAGAGGTCATGAAGATGGCACATGATAGGGCAAGGTTCAAATCTATCATTCATAGGGTCACTATAAGTTGTAGTTGACTTGATGGTTCCTGGGAACTTGGGTGTTCTAGTGTTAAGAAGCTGTGCTGCCAACCCGAAGGTGCATGGTTCAAATCCAACAGCTGCTCTGTGGGAGAAAGATGAACAATCTCCTCCCCCATGCAATTATACTGCCTCTGAAAACCTGCTTGACAGTCAATGATGAGTTGGATCTGACTCAATGATATAAGACAACAGGAACATATAGTTTTATATAAATGTATGTAAAAACATAAATTAAGTATGTAATTTTAAAATGTTATATAAATACATATTATATATTGTGTTTGTTGTTGTTATGTGTTGTCGACTCTCCTGTGACTCATAGTGACCCTATGCACAACGTCTCTGAACCCTGCCCTATCCTGAGCCAGTCTCACTGACTCCAATGACACACCTACTCACATTACTCCAGTTACTGTTTCAATCCATCTCCTCATGGATCTCTCCTGCATTGTCCCTCCAAGCATGATGTTTTTCTCCAAGGATTGGTCTCTCCTGGCCTGTGCCAAAAGTATGTGAAACAGAGCTTCAAAACTGGAGCCTCCAAGGAGAAATTTGGTTTCAACTTCTCCAAGACAGACCTCTTTGTTCTCTTGGTGGTCCATGGTAGCTGTTATAGAAAAACCTGTTACTGATAATGAAATAATATTTTAAATAATTTTTCTAAAAGTGCATACCTTTCTTTTATTTATTTATGTACCTTTCAGGTGATATCTGAGATAAACTATTTTTACTTTCCACGTCTTAATTCTTTGTATTGCGTAAAATTGAATCACCATGAGGAGTAGGAAGTATTTACTCAGACATATACTTTGGAATGTTTCTTCTCATCCTACTGTTTTCTGATAGGTCTGTGTAATGGCTTATCTAACTCATTCCCAAATTGTTATGTGCTGTTAAGATGGGATGGAACTGACTCATAGCTGACCCTCCAGAGGGTTTTTAGAGACTATAAATAGTGTGGGAGGCGATTACCTATCTTTCTTCTGTGGACCAACTGGTAGATTTGAACCAATTTTGTGTACCTCATTCTGACTTTATGCACTGTTTCAAGCTCTATCACTAAGTAATACTTTGTGACAAGACGATTATTAATACTTGTATTTCATAGGACAGGCTAACATGTCCTCATTACTAAGAACTGGATCACATTATTGACAATAAAGTAGCTCTGGTTGTGCTGTGGCTAGGATACTTGGCTACTAACTGAAGGGTTAGTGTTTTCAATCTACCTATTATTATTATTATTATTAGGTTTTTTAAAAAAATTTTTAAATTTTATTTTATTATTTTGTGTGTGTGTACCATCAAATCAGATCTGACTGGTACAAGAGGAGATTGTTGCTCTTTCTCCAGCACAGCATCTGGTGGATTTGAACCGTGTGCCTCTGGGATTGCAGTGCAGCTTCTTGCCACTAGGCCACCAGAGCTCCCTAATTATGTGGTTTTTAAAAACATTATTTATTGTGAAAAACATATATGTGTATATAAGGGGGTGATAGTTGGGAGCAGAAGGGTGAGGATGGGTAGGGAGGAAATCACAGGGCTGCACAATTTGATGGGCAGGAGGAGTAGGCTAAGGAAATGAAAAATATCCAGTGGGGACCCAAAGAGACAGGGGATGGTAAGCCGAGTCCAATGGTGAATTTTTTTTTTAAACAAAGAAATTATCTTATTCACCTGTGGGTTTCTCATTTTGGAATGGGGCTTAGACTTTCTGACTTTTTTATGCTGAACAGAGGTGTTGATGTGAAGGGGGAAGGGGAGCCCACTTTAACATCTTACTGGTGGTCCTGAGTTGAAGCTGCATGCCTTCTTGGTCTGTTAGAAGATATTTTCCTGCTGTTTACTGCCCTCTGGACTACAAAGTGTTTGCCAAGGTGGGTCCAGTGGGGATGGCTCGCTGAACCCTGAGGCTCCAATGCTCCTTCACTTCCTTAGCTGGCAGTTACAGTTCCCTTTTTTCTCTGGAACTGGGTTCAGGGTTCAAATCTGGGGTAAAACTCAGTGTTAAAGTTACCTATAGGAAAGGGAGCAACTCTAGAGAGAACAAACTTGTGAGTTACAATAGAAGGGCTTTGGAGGTGTCACTTACAGGTGTACTGGGGGAGAAGATAGAGGAAAGTGGCCTAGATAAAATTCTATGTATACCCTAGGCAGTTTCCCCCAGTGACCTAAAGGCTCTTCATAGGGGTCAGGGAGCCCACCCTGAGGGCCAAACAGCTCACCATGAGGGCCAAACAGCTCACCCCAAGGGTTGACTGTCTCACCCCCAGGACCAAATGGCTCACCTCGAGGGCCAAACGGCATACGCTGAGGGCTGAACAGTTCACACTGAGGGCCGAACAGCTCACTCTAAGGGCCGAATGACAAACCCTAGGGACTGAATAGCATACCCTAAGGGCCAGGCAACACACTCTGGGGGCCAGGCAGCACATCCCTCTACCAAAGTCCCCCCCTTGAGGTCTAGAACCTGTGCCTCACTGAAGACCATGGCCAGGGACAGCACCCCCAGTTCCAGCACTGCCACCATTACTCCCTTTCCCTCCACCAAGTGGTCAGACTACAATTTGAAGTAGGCATCACTGCCCTCCCCCTTTATAAATGGAGAAGGGGATTTGAGAGTAGTGAATGGACCCTCCCTAGGTCTAAATAGTTCTTGACAGCAGTAGTCAAGAGATCAAAAGATGTGGTGTAATTGAGGATATCTGCCATCTCAGATATATTGCTGTTGTTAAGTGTCATCAAGTCATAGACAACTCATAGCGACATTTACCAAGCCATTGTGTGATTTTCTCTGACCTATCCAAGGAAATCTTCACTGACAGCGAGATACTTTCCCTTATCAAGACCTTCACCTCCCACAGTTCCATGGTGCTGCCACTGCTGCCATCACTACCGCCCCTCCCTCCTGTGATGGGTCCCCTCGGCTTGCCACCTGGTCTAGGCTAGGGCACCCATGAGCCCCGGCCATGGCAGCCCCTGGGGTCGTGACAGGCAGAGGGAGAATGCAAGACCCACCCATGTTTCCCTGAGAATCCCCATCCTCCTGATGTTGCGCTCCAGTCCATACTGATGACTAGTTGTCAACTGCTTGGCTGGGCACATTTGAGCTGTGTGGCCTGCTTCAATACGACCTGCCGGGCCTCCTCCTCACCACGCCACATCTCCTACCACCACCGTGTTGGTTTCAAGAATTCTTCCCAGAACAAGTCTATTCTGCAGCAGTATGGAGGCTCTGCCACACCGGCCTCAGAGCTCAGTGCTTGCCATCCATCCCAAGTGAGGGTATCCCTGGGGTCTGGCTGCTGGAGCCTCATGGAGCTGTGGCAGCAGTGTGGGCTTGGCAGTGGGGGGCAGGATGGGAGCTTTGGGATTCATCCATTCTTCTTTGGGAATCTTTGATCTCTTGATATTGAGCCTTGATCCATATTGAAGACCAGTAATCAATTGTTTAATTATTCAGTTACTAATAAATGAGGACTGTAGAGGACCATGATGGCCTGTTTCTATGTGGCTTGCTGTTCCTGCAGCTCCTTATTTCTGCTCCTTGTTTCTGCTGCCACCACCATCTTGGTTCTTCTATTATTATTATTTCTAATGAAAATTTCAAGTGAGGACACACCTAATTTCTATTTCTTGCTTTGTGGGAGAAAGATGAGACAATCTGCTTTTATCAAGACTTGCAACCTTGGAAAACTTATGGGCAGTTCTGCTCTGTCGTATAGGATCATTATGTTGTTGAGTTGGAACCAACCCATAGCTCACCCTCCAGCTGGTTTTCACAGGGTTACTATGAGTTGGAGTTACCTCAATGATAGTGGATGGACATTACTAGTAAGGCTTCATAATTCAGTATGGAAATATGCATGGTAAGATAATGGAGATTTATCTCA